TCTCACCTCAGCCTCCCTCGGGGCTGGAACTACAGGCATGCACATCACCATATTCTCTTTTCTTTTCTTTTTTTTTTTTTTTGAGTTGGAGTCTCACTCTGTCGCCCAGACTGAAGTGCAGTGGCCTCTCCCGGCCTCCGCAGCCTCTACCTGCTGGGCTCTGGCGATCCTACCACCTCAGCCTTCCAAGTAGGCGGAATTACAGGCACGCTATACCACGCCCGGCTGATTTTTTAATTTATTGTAGAGATGAGGTCTCGCCAAGTTGCCCAGGCGGGTCTCGAACCTGCGGGTTCAGGCAATCCACTCACCTCAGCCACCCAAAGTGTGGGATTACAGGCTGAGCCACCGAGCCCAGCTATCATATTTTCACTGTATAATTCCTGTTCTTGTATAGTGGAGAACGTGTCTAAAATAATTTAGCCAATCCACACTGTCTTAAGTTCACCAAATTTCACAAATGGCAGCTCATTTCCAGCATCATTATGCTAATTAACATGCCACTACCTTCATCAGGCAGTTCATTTCTAACAATCATTATGTTAATTGAGATAGGATAGCTTTAAGTACTTATACAAACCTCTGGCCTTTCTCTCATTAACTGCTAGCTGACCTCCCATGGGGTGCGAAATTCTGATTACGGCAACTGAATGCCCCCTGAAAAGTAGCTTAACCCTCCTACATACATTTAACACCACGATGTTTATACTAAAGACATTGTAAATTACAGACATCACAACAGAAAGTTTGCAGGAGAAAAGTTTAACAAAGATCAACGATGGATGTGCCTATGAATTAAGGGACTATATTTGGGATATATGTCAGCGAATATTTACTATTCCAAATTCTACATCCCAAGCTAAATCAAAAAACTTCACATCTTATATATATATGCTTTTCTCCTCATTGCTGAAAGAAGCCACTCATACAAAAGAATTCTGGGCTCTTGCCACAGGAGGAAATAACTGTGGTCTATTTTGGAAACTCAATGGAAATTCCAATTTTCACCCAAGTTATCTCTTTTTCTTTGTGCTATGCGGAAAACCCTAAACATAACTAGAATCTGCAGCGTATATGTCTTTAAACAAAGTTAAGTCCTCATATGCAGTATCAGAAGTCCTTGGTTCGAATTCGACCTTTGCCACCTATCAGTTAATCACTCAACTCTTTGGAGTTTCATTTTCCAGAAGAGAGATCATTCCTTCAGTATTCTCCAAAGAGTATAAATTAGGTCTCTAGTGCCCTGAAGTTGGGGTAGGGTGGGAGGGAAGGACTTCCTCGTCAAATTATGTTGGGATACACTGTTTTAAACTCGGTGAAACGCTTTTCTTAATTGCAGTTTCTCCAAAGCATTAAAATACTAATGAGCATGACCTCCTAAAGAACCAGATAAATACTTCAAATATTTCATTTCCTGAAAGATTGGAGTGTGTGTTGTCTTTCTCCTATGGAATTCCAAGAGATTTTTTTTTTTTTTTTTTTTTTTTTTTTTGAGTCTGTATCTCACTCTGTCACCCAGTGAAATGCAGTGGCATGATCATGGCTCACCACAGCCTCTGACTCCTGGGCATAAAGCAATCCTCTGGCATCAGGCATTAGTCTACCAAGTAGCTGAGACTACAAGAGCATGCCACTATGCCCAGCTAACTTTTTTATTTGATTTTCTTCTTCTTCTTCTTCTTCTTCTTTTTTTTTTTTTTTTTGTAGAGACAAGGTCTTACTACATTGCCAGGCTGGTCTCAAACTCCTGTGCTCAAGCAGTCTTCCCAATTCAGCCTCTCAAAGTGCTAGGATTACAGGCATGATCACCTGTGCCCAACCCTAAGAGATTTTTTTTTAAGTTAAATTATTAAAGAAGTCTAACAAAATGTTGATTGTCTACATGTTGACTATTTTGATACTAATGTAAAAGATTACATTTTTTTTTTTTTTTTTGAGTTGGAATCTAACCCCCAGGCTGGAGTACAGTGGCACACTCATGGCCACCCCAGTGTCAACCTGCTGGGCTCCCTCTGCCTCAGCCTTCCAAGTAACCAGAACTACAGACATGTACTACCACGCCCGGCTAATTTTTTTTATTTGTTGTAGAGATGAGGTCTCACCAAATTTCCCGGGCTGGTCTCGAACCTGTGGGTCCAGGCAATCCATTCGCCTCGACCTCCCAAAGTGCTGGGATGACAGGCTGAGCCAGCGAGCCTGGTCAAGATTACATTTTTCTAAATATTCAGACCCTTCTTTGTTGGTACTCTGACCACCTATTGAGTTTACCTGTGGATAATCCAGTAGTGAGAATCTAGCGTGCAGTGCTCCCCACACTATGGACCACAGAATCCTTCTTTTTGCATGGCATCACGTGAAGCTAGTCTGTCAGGAATTACTCTGGGAAATATTGCATCATTCGGCAGTCTCTGAGACTTCTTCCAGCTCTTAAAAATTAGATTTCTAAGATTATAGTTTGCTACTTTCCAATCTATCCATTCTGCTTTTTTTTTTTTCTTCTTTTTTTCGGGGAGAAGGAGTGATGAGAGGACTTAAAATGACTTTATGTTCTTAAATTCAATAAATCTCCTAGTCTACCAACGGTTACTCTGATCTTAGAAGGCCCTTATCTCAACCTCAGTATTGCAAGTTTTTATTCTTCAAATATTCTCTGGCTAAATTAACTGCTATGAACACCAAGTTTCTATACATTGTTACTATATTAGTGATCTGCAAATTATGTCCTTAATGTCCTTCAAGCTTGTGAGTAATATAGCATTCTATGTATCATAATATATTCTACATATGGTGAGTAATAATACATTCTCTGTGACTGTGCTTTACAGTTTGCAAATGGTTTACATGCTTATTCATAATCTCACATAAATTTCTCTTTTTAAGTAGCAACCAATTTTATTTCTAAAGCAGTCTCACTGTCCAACTTAAAATGTTCTTTTTGTTAATGATCCCAGCCTCAAAAATTTGGAACCTTTCTATTTTGTGATTTTTTTTTGAAGGTCACTGTAATCCACAGCACTGTATAAATGTGCACACTCACTCTTCTAGAACAGAGAAGTTGGGCAGGAGTGAATCCAGTTCTATTAAGTAGCAGCATCTTTTTTCTTCAAACTTCAGCTAGCAACCACGAACATGTAAAGTACAGCCATTTATATTTCTCATTGTTTGTTTTAATGTAGCAATTGAGGCCACTTTAAGGACCATATGATGAGACAGCTATTGCAAACATTTGTGTAAGGTTATAAAACCTAAAGAAGTTCCAGCCTCACTCATAAATACTGATGCTCTGAGACCAGTGAATGCCAAGTACCTGAGCAGTGAAGGTCTTCTATGCACAGTTGTCCACTGAGTAAAACAGCATGCACTGAGCAACTGTAAAAATGATTCGTATTTTAGACATTTTCTGCCCAATAATACCAGAGCGGAAGATGGGAGTAGCAACAAAGAACAGGCTCCCACCCTTCCAAACAAAAACCACAAAACCAAGGAAAAAAGTTTCGTTCCCATGACAATATAGATTTTTAGAAATAGATGGGAGTAAGTCTATAGTTTGCAAAGGTAGAGTTAAACTATAAACCATGGTTCCCATGACTACTACTAATAAATTTTTTCGTATTGTTGCCGCTCTATGAAAATTGTAATTGCATTCTTTTTTTGAAGAAATCTCAGTTTCTCATATGACACAAAAGAAAAGATGTATTTCTACAGATTTAAGCTCTTGTTAAAAATTTGAATATTCAATCTGTCACCCAGTTGCTTTCCTCACATGATCTTAGGAAGAAGTTAATCAGGTTCCTAATAACCACAGCTGTCTCATATGATGGCTTTTTGCAAATTAGGAAAAGGAGAAATTTCTTGGCCACCTCAGGCTAAATATCACACAGTTGAGGGTTTTTTGTACATTAAGGATTCAGCTCTGCTCCAGGGTACATAGCCTGGGAAGCAGACAGTGGGGCTGGAACCCAGCTCTCACTCTTCCAGCCATGCGTCTCATACAGTGAATGGCCTGTAAAACTATACCTGGCACGCCGGAGCCTTATTTGCTAAATTAAGCAATTGTGTATCAGAACAACCTGCATACCTTTTGGCTGTCATCCTATGCCCTGAGTGAAAAGCCCTTGATCTAAATGTGACTTATAAAGGTCTTTCTTTCTACAGCACAACTCTGCAGTTATTTAACAAAATTCTAATTTGTGAGCAGAAGAGCTAAGAGCGAATGTCAATCCACTAGAAGCTGAACCTTGCAATGGAAGTGGGGCAGTGACAGAAGTCATTATTTGAACTGGGCTAAGCAAAGAGGCATGTAACGAAATGACATTTGTCGAGTTAAACACTTGTTTATATGTACATACCACTCTGCTGGACACCTGGAGAGTAGAACATAGAAGGAAAATATGGTCCCTACTCTTACAGATTTATAATCTTAATGGGGGGAGGGGTTTGGTAAGGAATGAACAAGAAAGAAGGGGAAGAGGAAAAGAGAAAAAAAACCTTAAAACTAGTAAGTCTTAGGTGAATGTACTTGGTGAATATCTCAAGCTAACATACAGCCCAGTTATTGGAGGTACATAGCAGAGAATCACGAATTTGTTGACTAAGTTAGTGATGAATCTAGGAATAATTACTCACAGGAACTGTGGGGGAGCTACAGCATAAGCCAGGCATGAAAAACGAGGTTTTATGCTCATTAGGGGTATTGTGTCTCTGGGTATGTTTTTGGGTAAAAAAAAAATTAAGGTTCATTGTTTTAGAATCAAAAGATATTCTTGATCTGTTAACCTTGATTTTTAATGTATACAAACTCTCTGGCCCAAATATATATTTCTGTGAAAGTGACAGAATTTGTCAATCTCATAGGTTCAATATGATTTTATAATTTATTTTGTGACTGTGTTTTGTTGAAACTTAGTATCCTTTAAAAAGACCACACTGGAAAAGAGCACATAAGGCGATTTCAAAGTGACTTTGATATAATGACCACTTTTATTCAATTGTTTTCACAGACCATAAACAGGACTGAAGACTGTCCGTCTGAAATTTTGCCTTGAATGAAGAAACTTCATTGAACAAGAAGTTGGCTTCCAGTTTGCACAGGCGTCAATGGAATGCTTTTTTTTTTTAATTTTATACTTTACCCAATGAAAACAAAGTTTTTATGTGCTGTGCAAATGGCTCCTTCATGTGGTTTGACAATTTATTTGTGCCATCTTTTTTTTTTAATTAAAGGAAAAAAATCCCAGAAGAGGGAAAAAAAAAAAAAAAAAAAAACCACCCTACAAAGCAAAACATTGAAGGTTGACATTTCATCGGAAGAACATTTGAATTAGGAATTTTTGTGAATGTGTAGATAGTTCTTTTTTTTTTTTTTAACAGAAACCTGATGTCAAGAGGTGGACAAACAGAAGTGGAAACAAATTGTCTTCCTCATTAATTAAGCTACTTTCTCTCTCTTTTTCCTTTCTTGTTTAAATCTAGTGGGTTGGTTTTTTATTTTATTTTTTCTTAGAAATATTTAGGTAAGGTTTATCTTGAATCTTAATTGCCTTAATTTTAAGGACGTCAAAGGCTCTCGAGGCAAGCTGTCAACGTCTTGTTAAAAACAAAAATCAAGAAGGAATTGAAATATTGTGCCGGCTTTAACTGGTACAGAAGTTTAAGACTGAGTTTTTAGGGTGAAAAAAAACTGTACAGTTTAAATGAAAATGTTTTTCTTCATTTGAAGAAAATTTGTTGATAAAAGAAACCATGGCAACTGCAAGAATTGGGAAAATGCTGGGACTTTTCATGAACTTTGTCTTAAGTGTTGACACAAATCATTCTAGAAGGCTAAAACATTTTACAGTAAAGTTATTAATGTTGGTTTAAAAACAACTGCATTAGAAATAATGCGTGTTTGGGGGCAGAATGCAGATTTTTTTTATTTACAAAGCGTGATCGCTAGCAAAAGCATTAGTGCTTTTTATCTGCAGTCTTTTTTATGAGCTTTACAAAGTTTTTAGTCAGCTTTGCTTGTCACATTGCAAAACCTAGCTTAAGAGCATTAAAAAAAAAACTTAAGTAGATAGGAGCTTATGGTCAAAAAGTGCAAAAAAACAAAAAAAGCAATAGATAGAGAAATTGTTGACAATTTCTGTAGTCTTTCCTAGTTGTGATCAAATTCAGCCTATGGATGGCCTATTTTATACCAAAGATGAAGTGACACCCTATTACAGTCCAGAAGATAGAGGTTGTTTTTCTTTTCTTTTTTAAAAAATTTTTATTTGACCTACATGGCCGGACCAGTTCTTAAGTTGTTGTTTGTTTAAACTATCTTCCACTGGTGTTTCACATACTGCAAAAAAGGGGGGTTTGTTTTTCTTTAAATGTATATTCATTGATAGTGGAAATTTGCACCTGCTGAGTTCAGCAGTTTCAGCATGAAGAGTTCTGGATATCAACTGATGGAGCCAAATGGTGTTAAATTCTGTGAGCTTTTCTGGTTCCTCACTAGCTCTCTTGAATAGTGAAACCTGTATTGGTAGCCATCAGTAAGCCAAGACACTTGTTTAACAGGTTGAAATTTCTTTATATGAATTGAACTAAAGACGCTTTCCGAATTTGGTCTGAAAAGTCATTTGTCAAAAAAAAAAAAAACCTTAGTGATATTCTGTGAAATGATGAGTGGTCTCCTGAAAAGGTCTCATTGTATTTGTAACAATAGTCTTCCTTCGAAATACAACACCTCTTAGTTTTGTCCTCTCACCTCAGTCTGTGTCATAATCTTCCATGAACAGCCATCTTGATTCTGCAAATTGGGGAGGAGCTATCTTCTCTTTGCTTCTTTTCCTTGTATTTTCATATCTTGGTGTTGCCAAAAGAAAGACAAAATGAACATTTTTATTTCAGTTTAATTCTCTGAGGCAAATAGGACCAATAAGATTGAGGATTCTATTAGTGGAAGTTAGGGAAACTCTTAAATGCTACTTGACAATCAAGAAACTGTGTTATTTATATCAATAAGAACCAAAAGAACTAGGTTTGTTCAATCATTAATGCCAAAGGAGGTGTATTTGCATTTCGAATGATGCAAAGCTTTGTCGAAAATGAATTAAATTGACTTACCTACAAAACATCTCTACATTTTTGAGTCATGAAATGTGTGTTCAACTTGTACAGCTTTACCTGAAATTAAAAACAATAGAATGGAATTTTGTTGATTGACCCATTCACTAGATTGCTTTCTGAATGAATCATTTGAACAAATAGGTAAAACTCTTCCCACAGTAAATAAGTCACAGGAACCTTAGTCCAGAAGAAAGAGGGAAATATATTAAGTGTATTATAAAAGAAAACAGGGTAGGTGTTTTAAAACTAAAAAAATTTAAAGACAAATTATATTCTTATTAGGTCAACATGAGTAGTAAGGTGGGCTCATGTGAAATTGTCAATATTCCACTATTTATATAGGCCTTGGTTCTCTTATTTGCAACCCCATGAACTGGAAATTCAAAATATGGAGTGACTCCCTATCTTTGTGGTCACATGAGAGACAAGAGTATATCCAAGAAAAGGTAGCATGTGTTACAGAGAAATTCCAGCTGGTCACTTCCATTGTTATGGTTTTTCACGCTTTAGAGAAAAGACAGATTTATACTTTCTTCTGTTCCATCCTTCGGCTTTCCTTGCATTCTAAGGTTGGCACTTAAGTTTTATTTTTAAAAAGTGGGCCCCCAAGCTTCTGGGGGTATACTCCAAAGCGAGGATGGGAACCATATTTTCTGTTTCTCTTTTCCACTCTCTGAAGTCTTTGTATAAATAAGGATTATCCTGGGCATAATTCATTTGAATATGAAACCAACATGCTTTCTTTTGTTTCTGTAAAAAAAAAGAAAAAAAAGAAAAAAGAAAAAAGTCGAAAACATGTATTAATGTGATACAAAGAAAGTCTCATTTACACAATCAACAATGAGGCTAAGTGGTAGCTACCATGTGGCTGATGACTGTGCCTAGGTAACTTCCTGTTTCTATTCAAAACTGCTGCTTTATTTATACATTCAGAAACATTTTTTTCAACTATGAAATTTCAATAATCTCAATTTTTTTAAGCCACTTCCTGCGAAAGGAAATGATCTGTCATTTTATGTGTCCATGTGTGTTTTGTGTTTGGAGAGCTTATATCATGCTGTTCTAAAAAATATATTTTTTCAAACCAAAAAGAAAGAAAAAAATGGCACGTATTCAAATTTGCCCCTTTATCTGTCATTTTACCTAAGAATTGTTTTGAAGAGCCAAGTCTGGGGGAGAAAAAAAGCATCAACAGGTAAGCAGCATTATGTTGTACAAAAATAAACCCAAATATGTGTTCAATATGCACAGACACCGGGATGTGAATTTAATCAACAACATATATTACAGTGACTTTAATCCTGTTTAGGACTATGATCTTTTTTAAGTTAAAGTTAATTTTAAATGTATTCTGGTTCACCAGATTGTCAAGCATCTAATCAGATGTTTCCATTTTTTCTTTGGACTTTAATTAGCCTAAACAACAGGAAACAAACCAAAGCCACAATCCAAAGGAGATACACACTATATCATTCAAACTGTAGTTACACGGTCAGTGCAAGAAGTTTTTTTCTTTTAATAAAGATAAGGTGTTGTCGGGGGAGGCAAAATGTGTGTGGTAACTGGGAGCACCCCAATGCATGGCCGTGTCTTCTAAAGACAAAATAATGGACCCTCGTGAACTAAGGTAATACTAGCAGGAACTGATGACAGTTTGTCCTTGAATGCTGACGCGTCTTGAATATTGCAAATTACATACTATTCTAAAAAAGAAAAAGAAAAAAGAAATTATCTCCCTGACTTCGGTTTTGCCAGGATTAGTTTGTTTCCTTGGTAGACTTCAACAGTTTAGAATGTTGCCACCATATTTCACTTGAATTAATTCCTCCTGGGACCTTAGCAGATCTGCCACATTTGAAAGCATGTGACTCACTTCCACCTGCTTCTAATGAAAAACTGCATGGTGTTAAAAGCACTCCCATTAGAATTAGGAGGCCTAGAACTGAAGAAGGCTGGATGGAACAGAAAGTTCACATTATTTCACTATGCCTAAAAAGTGTATCGTTTACCCCCTCGCAAAAGCGCTTTAAAACCACTTTCAATTCCTGTATGACCAAAAAAGTACTTAGGTTGTTTTCCACCCCCCTAAAAAAATTTTATTTGAACAATTGGGATGTTTATTATACACCTATGTATTTTTACAGTGGCCTAAAATCCTCATTAATGAAAAGTGAAATTTGACTTAAATAAGATTCTTGCAATCTTCTTCGTGATTGAGGAAAAGTTTCAATAGGCTGTCTAGACAGATTATGATTTTAATAGGAAACTATAAATACATTTGACAATTCAGTCTCATTCTTAATTTGAGTCCATGAGCCACTGCGGATGAGCTGAGAAGCAGAGAGAAATGTTTAAGTGGGTTTCAGTGATAAATGCTTTTGTTATTATTTCAAATAAAGTGTAGGGACAATATTTGAGGAATCACACATCATAATGAAGTTTAAGCACGTCATAGAACCTTGATCTATATTCTTTTGTCTCCAGTAGGGAGCGAAGGAAGAGATTTTGTTTTTCGTATTATTGTAGCTGGCATGCTTCAAAATTTGAACTCACTGGGACTGACAGCCTCTGACTTCAATCTGAGGGATTGACAGAATTTAAACAGGCTCATTGATTCTGTACACTATACCCTTCCTGTGGCAAAGTGATAATGGGATTTCATTAATGAATCAATCTGTTTTACAAATGACATCCACTGTGGCATTGGAAGACAGTTGGGTCTGACTCAAGTTTAAGATTTCCTACCAAACACTCTTAAATGTGAAATTGGTCCCTTAAACCAAATGCTCTTGGTCATGGCTGCCCTTTGTGGATTACACAGAGTTCAGGAAAGCACTAAATATTAAATCCCCCAGGTGGCCTCAAAGACCTTTTATGATGTGGGGGGATGGGATTTATGATTTCTTTTATCTTTGAATTTTTTATCTCAACATATGGGGTGAATGGCTTTCAGTATTCATTTCTGTTTATTTTGGGGAAGGAAAATGATGTAGCAAGAAAAATTTCTTCCACTCACAAAGCTTTCAAGGTGAAGCCGAGGTACAATCAAGCTTGGAGTCTGCAGG